TCTGGAACAATTTCTCTTACACAGCATTTTTGTGTCACTACTTCTTCAGTGCAAATGCTTAAAAGAGTTTCTGAAATTATTTTTTTAGTGAAGCTCATATCTTTATAGATAATTATAGATATTTATTTTATCTTTCTTTTTTTTCCTCGAAATACTTGAAATAGTCTTGTTTAAAGAAGGCTCAAAGCTTTTACTTAAGTGAAATATTTGCTTTTGTCAACCAACTATTTTTGTTTATGACAGTGGATTAGTTTTTCTCTTAAATAATGCTGATTTCCCATTTATTTCCACTGTCACTTGACATTCTTTCACACTTACAAAGACAGACTACCCAGTTTCTTGTCATTATCTATAGCAAAGATGTTTACAGTGGTACCTACAAAAGCATTTGGATCAGGACAGTAATATACTGCTTCCTTTTTCAAAGGTATAACTCTAAGTGTTGTCAACATTTGCTTCCAACAAGGTAATACTCTGTCATCTTGAAAAAGAATGACATCAGCAAAGGTAATTATCCAAGAAAGAATATTAATTAGAAAATTAAAAAAAAATCAATAATTTTGCAAGTCTGGAGAGACTGGGCCCACATAAGAGAAGACAAAAAAAACCCCTCAAACAAACCCATAACTAAAACCCAAAAAAAGACCATGTCAAAATACTTAAAAAAACCCCCAAATATAAAAACACAAAGAAGCACAGAGACTTAACACTGTTGAAGCTTTATTACTGTACCCCTGTGGCATGCAGGTATGTCACCACAGAGTGCTGTCCTGCCAGAGACTTCTATAAAAAGAAGCACATCAATGGCAGAAATAATTGATTTAAAAGTACACCTGAAGAAAAATACCAAGTGTACTGGTTGTAAAATGATGTCTCAAAGTTCAGTTATTGAAGCACACACAACTGCAGCTCCTTCCACCTCTCTCTCCCATGTAGGGCACAGCAGTGACATTACTGTCTGCAAAGGAAAATTTGCCTTGGTTCTGCAAGCGGGCCCTGTGGTTACCCCCTCTAACCAAGGAATGCATGGTCTTCTGGCATGAAATGAGGGTTGTTTCTGTGATCTCTGAGCAAGCCTTTGGACAGGCCAGTTTGAAGAAGCTCAAGAAGGAAAATATTTTCCAAACCACCCATAGTGCTATTGTCAGGCATATTGCTGTGTACTGTCAGACCAAAAAAGTAATATTTCTGACAGCAAAATGAGCTCTTACATTATTTTGCAATTAATGTATGTTCCAAATAATAGATTATGTTTCAAGTATTTAGCATTAAAATCAAAAACTAAAGGCAAAAGGATGGATGATGTGACACTTCTGGAATTGGATTCACTGGTATAATCTTTCTACACTCTATTTTCTGATCCATCTAAATAGCTTTGTAGCTGGTTAAAGCATGCCCCATACCTCCCAGCTGTAGGAACTGTCATAGCCATTTGGATTCAGGAAAGGATTATGTTCTCCTCTGCTTTTAATTACCATCTTTCTGGCCATAGTCAAAGCAATACTTGAGCGATTTCTGTTTAACGTTTCGCAACTATCTGAATTGTAATCCACCCACTCCTTTTGATAAGACATTGAGTAGTGACCTGAAAATAGTGTTGCAAAGAAGTTTGAGAAAGAACCTGGCAGGGGAGAAAAATTGCAAGGTTAAAGATCTGATAACCACTGGTTACTAATTTAAACTGCTAATGGTCTAATGGAGCTGGAGCTAAGAGTCCTATTGATTAGCTGAGGTTCGCAAAACATCCACTCCCAAATATAACTTGCTGTATATAGTTACATTTACAAGGCAAACAAGCTAAAAAAAGAAGAGCAACTCTGCCACACAGTAGTGGCAATGAACATAGTAGCTGTGAAGCTCTGTGATGGGAAAAGACATGCATTTCTTCATACATTTACATTTTAAAGTTTTAATGAAAGAATATTGTCAGGGAATGCCAAGCCCACTACGTGTTTTCCCTTTGCAGTGCAGTGACAGGATCCTGCTTCATGTTGCAAACAAGAAAACATTTTGTATTAAATGGGGAGTGAATATGCAAAAATGAAATTGAACAAGTTCCTACAGCAAATCTGCTCCCCATCAAAAATAAAAGGGAAGCATTTATCAAAGACAAAATCATTTCACTCCTTTTCTTATGGAGCAGGTTCTTATCAGATGTTTAAATGCTGGCTGTTGGGAATTTTTTTCTGTCTTCAAGAAAGCTGCAAAGATGCTAGAGCACTTCCTGAGACTTCATCTGCAAAATAATTTCTTCTGTTAAAAAAATAAAGTTGAAATTAATTCATGCATGTAGAAATAACTGACTGAGTCAGACTGTTAAATGCCTTTTAATATCTAACTTCATGGATTGATGCTATCACTTGATATACAAAAACCTGCAAAACTTAAAAAATGTAACATTCATAAGATCAAAATAAGATTTAATTTAGAGCTCTTCCTGTAGGGTATTGTTTTTTGAGTTTATCTATGTTCAAAAACTAATTAAATTGTCCCCCTAAGTCCATAATAAAGTGTTTTTCTTTTTTTTTCCTTTGATGATGGCTATCAATTATGAGATTTTAGTTTATTTTGGCCATAATCTGGCTCTCACTAAGCTAAAAAAAAGGCGTATCATATTCAATATGGTGGCCTAAAAACTGGTGCTCATCAGTCTCATGCATGGCTCTTAAAAAATCCCAATACAGGAAGTCTGTCCTACTTAGGGAAGTTACCATATCCTCATTCAACAACCCCTGCTTTTACCACCATTTCACCAAGTTATTGCAGTATTGAAAGGCTTTATTAAATGAAACTTAGGATGGGACTTCTACTTATGGACACCAGGGATGATTTTTCTGTCACAGACATCAAATTATTTAAAAATGAACACAGGATCCCTGAACCTCAGGAAAAGTCAAAATCTGCACAAGGGGAGTCCATCCATCCAGCATGGATGACACAACCCCTAGCACACCAGGGAGCACTTAAAAGTGCACTGTACAATACTGAGACTAACAGGCTCCTCTCAGATTTAACTGCCAGCTAATATGGGCCTGGGTTACCTAATCACATTGCAGATTAGTCTAATAACTTAACTTTGGCAGTAGTACTGCAATAAAAAGATTCATAATGGAAAAGGTGATGATGTGAACCTTAAGCGGAAAGACACAAAACCATACATCAAGAGACAATTATGGGTCCCAAGTACAGCAAGCCAAGCAGGTGATGACTATCATCAAACCTGTCAACAGGCAGTGTGCCAGCTTGCAATCCTGATGACAGTGAGTGTTTTGTTTATTCTTTTGTGAGTAATGTTGGTGTGCTATTTCTGTTCTCTGGCTATATTTGCAAGAAAAGTGCAGGATCCTACCTCCTTTCGGTCATCAGTGTTTCCTCAGACGTGAATACTTGAACATCCGTTTCCCATTTCAAGAATTAAAAGTGAAAATCATTCTCATTTGGAGCATCAGCTTCACCATAATTGAGTGTTGAGTTAGCCCCATAGCAGATCTTTAATGAGATAAATGTTATTACAGACGGTTAAAAAATAGTTGAGTATGGTGAAACTATCTCTCTGCAGAGATCTGAGGTCTCTCTTTAGAGCCTGAATTTCAGGTTCTTTTCGAAGACAATTCAAAACTGTTCTTCAGTCTTTAAAGAAGGAGTAACTCAGAAAGAAAGATCTGATTTTCTGTATGAATAGCACCATTAAAGTTAACACATTTTGTAAGTAAAGTATTCAGCTGAGTATTATCTGCCATTAAGATAATTAGGTCTAATTTTGCCTTGGACCTTAGTTGAAGCTTTGCAGTGGGAAATAATTTCTAAAAGTTTTACCTATTTAAGCAGACAAGTTAAATAGGGGATTTTTAAAGACATTTCTAGCTCATTCTCAAATCAGATTTACTTGACATCAGAATTACATTTTTAATGTGCAAAACTCTAGCTAACCATTGTTAAGGAGCTATATTGGGATTTCTGAATGGAAACCATCAAGCTATATATGTCTTCAGATATGCAGATATGCAGTGCCAGTGAAAGCATCTTGAAAAATTACTATCTCATGATAATATAGGTATGCCATACGGAGTTGTCAAACATGTAAAAAAATGACCTAAAACTGTGCCACTAGCAATTTTCACAGTCACTATGTTAAATGTTTAAGACTTCATCTATAAAATTAGAAGCCAAATCCTCTTTTGATTAAGAAAACAGCTAAACAGTAGTCCATTTCATGGGGAATAAGACCATTTTTTCTTCAAAAGAAAAATTGTACCATCCTCTTGCTTAACCTTTTTAGTCATTGCTAAACATATAGGTAAATAGAAACTTCTATATCTGAGCAAAACCATTGTCACTGTTTTTTCCAGATGAAGAAGGTCAGACACGAAAAAAATAATTGTTATTCCAAGCTTTACAGGGCTCAATTAACTCTTTACTCAGGCAAATTCCCCATTGATGCCACCAATATTTTTACCTCAATTACTACCAAATCATCCAATAATAACAATAAAAACAAAATACATGGAATTTCAGAATGAAACTGAAAGCTTGCAATAGATTTGACTGTGTACTAGACCACTGTGTTTTTCTCCAGTATTGCCATATTTCCTTTTGTTTTCAGTGGGAGCTGTAAACCAGATTTTTGGATATTCTAAAATATGCATATTTTTCTCTATGTTTTCCCCACTATTTCATCCAATTTATTCTGTATTGTCTCCTGGATTGGGCTGATATACAAATTGAGCTATATTCTCTCTCACCCTTGAAGTCCAATACATTGTTGAACCCACACTGAATCTCCAGCAGAAATTACAGAAGTGCCAGGAGACACTGTGCTCAGTGGAGTAGCCTAATTTACTCTGAAGTAAATGGAATTACAGTACTTTGTGACAGGGCACACCTGATTTAGCTTGTGATGATGTTAACACAGATTTACACATATCTGAGGAATGTGGAATTTAGTCAAGATAGCTGTTTAAAAGGATTTGAACAAGAAAATTCAACACAAAGCCTCAACATTGTACAAAAGAACTTCTGAAACTTTATTGTGAATTTTAAAGTACATTTAGAAAGGATCTCATCCTTCATATCATTAATTAAAAATAAATTTAAAGAAATCCACATACTAGTAGTTTGAGCAAAGTTCAGTACAGACTTTTTGAAGTCACAATATATACATTGCATGAGAGTGCAATAAGCTTCCAATTACATTAGGTATATATTTCTAAAATAAAGAGCTTTGATTTGACATGTGTGAGAGGCATACTGTTTACAATGAAAACATTTTACAAAATATAGCAAACGAAAAATGGAATTTAATACATTTGGAATGTACAACTACTTTATACTTTTTTAGGTAATTCTTTACTCAAAGTGTACAAAAGTCCATTTTTAAAGGACACCTGTTCATTTGCACTGTCCAATACTGATTAGAAATTATTGTTTTAAAGATTCATTACTATACATATCAGTGAATTCTTACTCAACTCCATAGCCACTACAATGAAGAAAATATTACAGAATCATTGACAGCATCTTCTTCTCTCTAAATTATGCATAGATAAATACATAGCAATGGTGTCTATTACTACAATAAAAGTGAAACATTTCACCTGATTTTTGCAACTATTCTTTGCATAAATATAATGCGTTATATAATATATATATATTAGTTTATTTAACAATCAACTGATTGCTTATTTTAACACTCAGTAACATACAGAAGCACATACACTGCTATCCTTAAATATTTTCCACTCTGTAGTGGCTCATAAGGTTCAAAAAATCAACACTGTAAATTTGTAATTCTCAACCTGGGGAAAGAATATTCCTCAGATGGACTGGTACTATTTATACAAGTTAAACTGTATTATGAATCCATAGCGTCCACCTCCAAAATACATGACAGGAGTAATATAGTATACTGTGGCTACTAACTACTGCATAATCATTATATAGGAAATCATCACATCAACTGTTTTACATTTATGATTACTCATTACATTGTATCACACACAGACCAAAACTTTCCCAACAGATGGATCTCCTTTTCTACAGTTTTTCATGTTTTAGAGAAAAATCATCACACAGTGACAATGTTATGTCTGGGGAAGTATGAAAAATGTGTTTCCTTTTTCAGGACAAAAGAGTAAGAAGTAAATTACTAATTATATTACAATCAGGATGTAGAATTAAATCTTTAAAGAGAAAGTAGAGTTTTCAGCATTGCAATTAAAGAAATTACGTACTGGGGGTGTGGGACTGTCACTCAAAACTGTGTGAAAAGCACACCAGAAAATTAGTTAGGCAATAATGAATTAAAAGTTGCACTTCCCTTTCAAACGGAGCACAGTAGGGTTATGTGATTTGTGTCCAACCACTCTGCAATGTGTTATCTGAACAGCTCAAAGTATTTGCAAAGGACAAGACAGCTTTGCATTCATTATTGCCGAATAAAAGGAATATGCTGAAATGTGTAATGACCGATGGTGGATTTTTAACAACCACCAAGGATGTCTGAGACATTCAGATTTGCAGAAGAGAGCACATTTTTCCTTTTCAGGGTGGACAAAAGCCCATCCTCCATGGATTTGCAAAAAACCACCCTACATGGATTTGCTTGCCTACTTTCTCTTTCAGCCAAAGTTAAAATCAAGTATCTTCCACCAAAGAGCTTTACTGCATTTCCATTATAGCTGTCTCTTCTATGGAGAAAAAAGTACTCTCTGCAAAACACTACCTATACTATAGCAGTGATAACTTGGAGGGCAGACATTGGATTTCAGATGCAAACAACTTTGGATTACTCACCCTGGAACCCCTCTTTGCTTTTTCCTGCTAAATGTAGTAGACTAGGCTTTCAGCTGTCAACCCTGTTAACAGCAGGAAGAAGTACCAATAATTTTGCAGATCCACACGATGTTTTTCACTTTTGCTGTCCACTAAGCCACCAGAAACTTCACGGTGACAAGCTATAAGAAAATATGCACCACAAATTTGCCTAATATCTATGCAAGAAGAGCACAGCAAGCCCACTGACTTCAGTCATGCTACACTCGCCTGTCCACCACACGCAACAGCACACAGGTGAGACTGAACTGCCTTGGGAACCTGAAGGGAACAGAAACAAGAAATCCCTGGCATGGCTCCTGGAGACAAGGTTTAATGGCAAGCTGACAACCTGTTCTTTAAGATTTTTCTCTTAAAATAACAAGTAAAAAAAACCCAAACCAAAACAAAAACCCCAAAAAACCCCAAAAAAACCCCCAAAACAAACAAAAAAACCAAACCAACCAACCAATCAACCAAAAAAAACCACAAAACCACAACACAAAAAGACACAACAAAAAACACTCCAAAACCCAGAAGCTTTACCAGTCAGAAACCTGCCCAGCATTACTGTATTTGAGTGTCACTTTAGGTTAAAAAGAAATCTTTTAGCTTACATTATGTGGCATATTTTTTCTCTATTTCTGTTTTAAATACACAAAATAGCCCACCCCTTCCTTTGATATCTTCAAAGAGAATAACTGAAGCCTTCCAGGATCCTTGACAGCTTAAGTATACAGTAGGAACAGTTGACAATTACATTAGCTTTTCCCAGTGTGCAGAAAGGATGGCTAATGGAATTAATGAATCGCTTGCTGTTCCAGTAGTCAAAAGTCTAAATAACAACATGACCTTCAGTCAATGCTGCTGAAGAAACATTTCCTTAAACAATTCACAATCAGTGAGATGACCTCAGATTGCAACTGTTTGTAAGTGATTTCTCTGCTTTCTGCTTTAATTTACGCTTTCTTGTGTAGACCTACATGAAGTTTAACTGTTTGCACCAGTTGCTATTTTCCCTAATGACTGTTTATAGCAAACAGGGAGGAAAAGTACCATGATTTAAAGGTTAAGTCAGCTACTATGAACACAACATCAAGCTAAAATTTTCATGAAGCCAAAGAAATGCTCCCAAGTTTCTATTTTTCTTGGAGAGGTAATAAATGTTTATTGTATGTTAAGTTTCATTTCAAATAAAATAGAGTTTTAAAAATAAAGATGAAAAATTCTCTTCTTGCTTCTCCTTGTTTCTATTTCATGTAAAATTCATTGCCGCCAGTGGTGGGATTTTTGGTTTAAACCAGTGTGAAAAGAAATGAAGCATCTGTTAACAAAATACTATGTTTCAAACTGCTTGTGTTTCATAGTGCTAAACATTTTATTAAAAAAATTAATATCCCATAAGAATTCAGGGCTAGGATTGCTGTTGCTGTTTTGAAATAGTATTTGTCAGAGGGATAGTGGGAGTTAGTTAACATCAGATCAACTCATAAATGCAGACTGCAAAACAATTTTTATATGTTTGTGGGTTTTGGGTGTTTTTTTGTTTTTGTTTTTGTTTTTGTTTTTTTTTTTTTTAAAAGTTCCAAAGCTGAAAACAGTATTCCTAACAGAAATGGTATTCCTTAATTAACTTTGAAGAGAAGGGTTGGACTAACCCTACATTTTTAATCTTTTTAGGATTTAGTTTGGCAGGATAAGAAGTTATAGTGGAGTAAAAAAAATGATTTAGTACAGTGCCTACAATCCACTGATGCTTAATATAGTTGATCATCACAATACTTAAAATGATAGTATTAAGTGATTTATGCAGTTGATGACATGAATGTTTATGACAACCTCAGCCTCATAGTTGCATCTGCTTGACTTTCACCCACTTTATTTGAAGACATGCATGTGTAAAGATCAGTAGCAATTGCCAATTTGCCTGATGTACCACATCAGGATACAAAAACTGCTACAGATTTTCCCCCTCAGGTGCAATTTTGTCATACTCCATTAATCCTTTCAATCCTCCCCCAATCCTGTGGACATGTTATTTAGTAATCCCTGATTGTTGTGGTGAAGGAATATTAGAAAGTCCCTGCTGTCTGCAAGGCAGAAAATTACAATGGTCGTCTATTAAATTTGGCTCTCACAGTGCCCCCCTGGATCAAGCCTGCTTGTCACAAACACAACTAGTGGCCATAATGTCAGGACGAATTATCACCAATTTCCAAAATGTCAATTTTAAACTAATTTTGTGTCTCGCAATGTCGCCTCTTCAGCACCCAGACAAAGGCTGTATTTTTAAAGAGGGAGAGAAAAATCTTAAATCAACACATCACATAGGGTAGCTTCATTCACTTATGCATGTCAGGTTTTCAGTTTTCAACTCCCAACCGGGAACTCTCCCACATGATTGCAACCCATTGTGCAACTGAACAACTTGGCTTTCTTCCACTTGAGACAGTTAAAGAGAGATTACTGGGAGCATTCCTTTCCAGGGCTGCTCTTGTTAAATACAACATTCTCTGTAAACACCCGCGTCTTTAATTCAACATTTTTGCATTGCAAAGTAATCTATCTACCTGGGTCTTCTCTCTCTCTCTCATATGCACACAACTGCAGGATTTCTATTTCTGATCATGTATATCCCTATCATATTTTTCCCATACAGACAGAAGTCAAATTTATCTACTTTTTAGGAAAAACAAAAAAAGTAAAAAACCCCAGCCTTTCATCAGCTTGATTAATTTAAAGCTGTAAACCTTGGTTTAATTCTACTGACATGAAAAAGTAACAGCTACAAGCTCCCAGTCAGGATTTGTGATTGATTATCTAGTGAAGCCTTTAAACAAAAGCTTGTTTGCTCATTAGTTGTACTAAGGTCTTTAGTGACATATACAAACACAATCTTTAAGTAAGAAAAAATATGACTAAATATTTAGAGATTTTAATTCTGAAAAAGGAGATAAATAAGCAAATAAATTAAACAAACAAACAAACAAAAACAACAACAAAAACCAAACAGCCAAAGGTTTATAATCAACCACAAAACAGAGCAAAATTTAAAATAAAGCTCTTTTTAGGTAACTGAGATATTTGTTGTTGTAGCATTTTATTCTCAGATCTGACTTGTCTTTTGGAAGCATTGTCCTGTCACTACTATCTCATCCTTCAGAAATTCACCAAGATCTTATCCTTTCTACAGTAACAGTAACCACGAGTGTGATTACATGATCTACATGCTTGCCTCCCATCAGTTATGTATCTCAGCATACTGCTGCATAAATCACTCTTACTCACCCATGGGTACAGTGTATCCTGCTCCCAGACCACTGAGCTCGTTTTGTTTGTTTTGATGTACACAGAGCATAAGGTGTGGGAAGTTTTCTGCAGAAGGGATCATATTTAAGCTTGAAAAGACTACTGAATCCTAACCCAAACAACACACCGAAAGAAAAAGTAAAATAATATTGCACAGCTACTTTTAAAAATAGTTGAGATTTTTCTGTTGTATTTCAACATTTATAGTACCATCAGAAGTCATCTACAGTGATACTGGCTTTGTCTCCTTGCAGCACTGTTGCAAACAGCAGGATACTCTTATGGTAAAACACTTAAAAGTCTCAACATATTTAGCTTAAGAAATCCTAATGCATGCTGAGCAATGATATACATTCAATATCTGACAGAGTGATAAGTGAACGAAGTGAAAAAGAAGGTTTAGGTGTCTAATTCTGACCCTCACATCTCTTCAAAGGTCATACTAGTATAGTAGCAGATACCATGGACTGCAAAACCTGTCACACCAGTCTGCACTGCTGCCTACATTAGCCCAAAGGACACTGACGCACGGACTTTGCCTACAGAGATGCTCACTCAGGACAGGCCTTTTCACAGCACAGGCAGAACCCAACCATGCCACAACCAATGGTACAAGCCAAACTGTTGGCAAGGAGTTTATCTTCTAGCACAGTGCAACAGATCTACACACCTATACATGGAAATTGCACCTGACAGCTCACTCTCAGTATCAGCATGGTGTTTCCCCAATTGAAATCTTGCAAATATCTGCCCAGATCCCACAGGACCAAAGGTTCACATAGTTGCAATGCTGAGGACATCCAGAAACAAACAGTAAAATGCATCTAATGCAAATGGAATCAGAAATATCTGTTTGGAGGTGCCTCATGATCTCTTTCTGTTAAAAACTCTCTCCAGCCATATTACTGATGTCTTAGTGATGTCTCTATGTGTTTTTACTCTCATTTAGACTGTAAGCAACAGGGATTCAGCCAGGGAACTGCTTGCTAAGGAGGAACCTGGGAGTTACAAACTGTTCATCTCATCTGCCTTCTATCTTGCTTTTGTTTAAAGGCATTCCTACAGAATATATTCACCTTTGGCGTATATATGCCATAGGTCTCTTTGGGAGAAGCTTCACATTGATTTGGACTGCAATTGCACTGGATTTTAAGATGGTTCATTGTAACATTTGGCTTCTGTTTTTATTCTATAAAATAAATCTTCAAATGTCATGAAATTAGATCTTCAGGTGTTTTCATAAACAGAGATTGTCCAGTACTGTATGAGGACTTGTTTAGCATCTCAACTGGACAGCACAAAGTACTTTTGGGTTATTCATGACAGAAATTATGTTTGTCTTCATAAAAACTGTTGAAAATGACTTTGAATTTCCTTCTGAGACTCTTTAGCTATTAAATACATACCAGTTCATGTTCATTAGACAATATGAATAATGTATCTTTGGCCACCATCATGTCTTCTCTCTGAAGCAGAATCCTCAGTATTTCAATAGGTACATGTAATCCTGTACATACAAGGACATGTATATATCTGTTCTCATATTTGTGCATGCACATGCACATGCACAGTCACAAGACAACATGATTGCCTTCATATTCTCCTTGTTTGAATTATTTAGGCCCAACTAAACTAATGGAGCCCAAATAACTAGAAAATCTACACTAGCCAATCAACCTGAATTGATAGAACTAAGTGGCCAAAATGAAATTAAATAATTAGCACTAAAGTAAGCAGCTAAAAGATATTATTCACTATTACACACTAAAAGAATCATGACTTTAAGATAGTGACACAGTAAGAAACTTCATCAAAGAGGCCAGTTCATTGAGTTTCTCCTTGCACAAAACAGCATCTACCTCTTAAAGTTTTAAGAGGCTGGCTGATGCCTAGCTCTTTTTGTTTTGGCATTGGGTTGGGTTTTTTTTTTTAGATTGACTGTCATCACTAGTGTTTCCATTTAAAATATTCTA